TGTGGCCGAGGGCATGCTGCCCGGCATCAGTTTGGGGTTACCCGTGTTTGGCCTGCCGAGGATTTCCTTTGAGTTTCCTGCAGGGTGCTGTTGTTTCTCTCCGGGTGGTGCAAGCCCATCTTGGAGGAAGCCTAGCGGCAGGCGTTGTTGTTAGGGACCAATGCTTGGCTGACGGACAGCCAGAGGCACCAGGTTGTGGAGGTTAAAGGCTGTGGCTCGGTGCCTGAAAGCCTGCCCAACTGCGATGCCCAAATCAACCAAGCCCTCCCTGCGTGCAAGTGGTGTGGGTTCTTCTGGAGCCGCTGGGGTTGAACCAGTGAGTAAGCGCGAGAAAGCTGGTTCCTCCTACCTGGTGAGTAATTCCCAGAAAACCAGGTCAGCATACGGGGCAAACAGGAGCTCAGAGCTGCTGCGGCATGGGTTTCTGGGGCCTAAGTGAGTAAGAGCGAGAAAGCTTAGGCCTGCCCCGGAGGTTGGCGACTTTGCCAATCCACTTGTTTGCAGTTCGTACAGGCATAGCCCGTGTGTCGGTTCCAGACCTTCTGCCTTTTCTGAGTGAGCCGAATGGGTGAGTTTCTCCCCTGTACAGGCAGGGCTTATAGGGTAGGCAGTACAGACCAGGCAGTTCAACCTGCAGAACAATTGCTTAGGGCTTTGTACAGTGCCAAACCAGTGAGTAGCCGTGGCCGCCGAGCTTCTCGCGGAACTGGTTAAGCCCTCAATGCTTTCTCTCGGTGATCCTGCACATAGTTCGGCCGTGTTAAGCAGGCCAAGGTCACCTCGAGAGTTTCTTTCAGTGCTTTGTTAATACTTCCCGGAACTTCGGTTCCGAAGAGCCTAACCTGGCTAGCGACGCAGTCCGCTTTCGAGTGATATATGTGACCTTGGCTCAAGATCTCGGCTCAACCCCGGTGGGGTGCACAGGTAGCAGAGCGGTAGCTGTGTGAACCAGCCTCGAGTCCCCTAACTGCTTTGGGTGCCAGGCCTGCTTTTTCACAGCCTTCATTTGAGCCATGTCCAGAGTACCTGTGCAGTCGAGATCCTCACTGCCAGCAAGTGATGGGTTGGAGTCATCTCACCCAACTTGCGATGCAGAGAGCCAGAAAGAAGGCACGGCCCGACTGGAGGGCGAAGCAGCCCGGCTTGGGGAACTCTTCCCTTATGCGAGTCCTCTTACAGCCGGCTGTGGAGTTTCTCCAGCCTTGGAAGACCAGGTAAGATGCTCATGCAGCCTGGCAAGTGTAGAGCGAACTTGGGCCCATAGAGCCAATTGTGGTTTCAGCCAAGGCAGGACTTTCCACCAGGTACTCTGCTTTCGCTGGCTTCACAAGGGCCGGAAAGAGTGGCTGCTCCTCTCCGAGGACAGCAGCATGTATTTTGTTCGCACCAGCAAATCCGGCAAAACAGTCAGAGCCGGACCTTGTGGGCAATGGAGATGCATGGAAGACCCAGCAGAGCTCCACGGGGGAACGGGAGGCGACCCGTCCGTGCAGAGGCTTCGCCTTTTAAACTTTAATTGCGCTGGCTGTGGTAACATTCCAACCCATAACCTCAACTTCGTGCCTGGTCCTGGGGAAAGGCAACCAGCGATCTTGTATGGAGAGGATGGAAGACGCATCGAGCTCCAATGTGCCCTTTGTCTTCAAAACTTCCTGGAGTGCACGTGGAGCTGGCCGAGCTTCGATCAAGCAGTCAGGAGACAGGTGTTTCTGGACGATGCCTCCCTGGCTGACTTGCGTCAGTTAGGTCACCAAGGTACGGAGCCCGCAGAACCTTCGCTGGCGCCGCTGTCTTCTGCAGCCAGCGCACATGGCTGGACCTTCCTTGAGGAAGGGTGTTCTCAGGATCTAGACTCCCCAGAAGAAGCATGCAGCAGTGATTGGCTTGTGTGTGGCTTTGAAGACTTGGAAGACATCCCCTGGGAGGTCTGACCTAATACGGCCCCAACCCACTCAAATTGCAGGAGCTATGCCCTGCCAGAATCAAGGGTGAGATGCTCACCCTCCGGAATCCCACTGTCACGGGTGAAGTTTCTCCCCGTTCAATCAGTGACGGTCCTTTGAGTCCGTTCCCAAACTGAGAGTGCCAGCAGGGCACCAAGAGAATCTTGCATGGAATAGGATCGTGAATGATCGCATAAGGATGCAGGCTGTAAGCATGCAAGCAGACGAGTGCTCAGTCCCGGCACGCACCCAGATCCATCCGTCGGATTATGTTCGCAGCTGGTCCGATGGACACCCTGCAGGACAGGCCGCCTCGACGCGGCTTATGTTCAGCCTGACACCGGTTCGGCCCCCTTGCTCGGTCTGTGCAGCAGACCGCTGGACCGGGTTTTTTGGGCTCAGGTGCTTGTGGGTACTCACAGGCCCAACACGGGGTTCTCGCAAACACAGCGCACGAAAGGAAAACGTTAGAACCGGTCCCTGTAGATCCTCACAGGTTGATGAGGGGAGGGTAGCGCGCTGAGGTGTGGCAGGAACGGACGAGGATCCTAGTACGCCGACCGTATGAGGTTTAGGGCATTTCCCTGCATCAGTTTGGGGTTACCCGTGTTTGGCCTGCCGAGTGCTTCCTTTGTTTGTACCTGCAGGGTGTTTTTGTTGTTTCTCCGGGTGGTGCAAGCTCATCCAGGAGGAAGCCCAGCGGCAGGCGTTGTTGTTAGGGACCAAAGCTTGGGCTGACGGACAGCCAGAGGCACCAGATGTGGAGGTTAAAGGCTGTGGCTCGGTGCCTGAAAGCCTGCCAAACTGTGATGCCCAAATCAACCAAGCCCTCCCTGCGTGCAAGTGGTATGGGTTCCTCTGGAGCCGCTGAGGGGAACCAGTTAGTAAGAGCGAGAAAGCTGGTTCCCCTCCCTGGTGAGTAAGTGCGAGAAAGCCAGGTCAGCAAACGGGGCCAACAGGAGCTCAGTGCTGCTGCGGCATGAGTTTCTGGGGCCTAGGTTAGTAAGGGCGAGAAAGCCTAGGCCTGCGCCGGAGGTTGGCGACTTTGCCAAGCCACTTGCTTTCAGTTTAGTACAGGCATTGCCCATTTATCGGTTCCAGACCTTTTGCCTTTTCTGAGTGAGCCGGAAGTGGGTGAGTTTCTCCCCTGTACTGGCAGGGCTGATAGGGTAGGCAGTACAGACCAGGCAGTTCAACCTGCAGAACATTTTGCCTAGGGCTTTGTACAGTGCCAAACCAGTGAGTAGCCGTAGGCCGCCGAGCTTCTCGCGGAACTGGTTAAGCCCTCAATGATTTCTCTCGGTGTTCCCTGCACATAGTTCGGCCGTGTTAAGCAGGCCAAGGACACCTCGAGAGACCATTTTCCGTGCATTGTTAATACCTACCGGAATTTCGGTTCCGAAGAGCCTAACCTGGCTAGCGACGCAGCCCGCTTTCGAGTGATATATGTGACTGGCTCAAGGTCTCGGCTCAACCCCGGTGGGGTGCACAGGTAGCAGAGCGGTAGCTGTGTGAACCAGCCTCGAGTCCCCTCACTGTTTTGGGTACCAGGCCTGCTTTTTCACAGCCTTCATTTGAGCCATGTCCAGAGCACCTGTGCAGTCGAGATCCTCACTGCCAGCAAGTGATGGGTTGGAGTCATCTCACCCAACTTGCTCTGCAGAGAGCCAGAAAGAAGGCACGGCCCGACTGGAGGGCGAAGCAGCCCGGCTTGGGGAACTCTTCCCTTATGCGAGTCCTCTTACAGCCGGCTGTGGAGTTTCTCCAGCCTTGGAAGACCAGGTAAGATGCTCGAGCAGCCTGGCAAATCCAGAGCGAACTTGGGCCCATAGAGCCAATTGTGGTCCCAGCCAAAGCAGGACTTTCCACCAAGCACTCTGCTTTCGCTGGCATCACAAGGGCCGGAAAGAGTGGCTGTTCCTCTCCGAGGACAGCAGCGTGTATTTTGTTCGCACCAGCAAATCCGGCAAAACAGTCCGAGCCGGACCCTGTGGGCAATGGAGATGCATGGAAGACCCAGCAGAGCTCCACGGGGGAACGGGAGGCGACCCGCCCGTGCAGTGGCTTCGCCTTTTGAACTTTAATTGCACTGGCTGTGGTAACATTCCAACCCATAACCTCAACTTCTTGCCCGGTCCTGGGAAAAGGCAACCAGCGATCTTGCATGGAGAGGATGGAAGACGCATCGAGCTCTACTGTGCCCTTTGTCTAGAAAGCTTCCTAGCGTGCACGTGGAGCTGGCCGAGTTTCGACCAAGCAGTTAGGAGACCGGTGTTTCTGGACTACGCTTCCCTTGCTGACTTGCGTCAGTTAGGTCAGCAAGGTACGGAGCCCGTAGAACCTTTGCTGGCGCCGCTGTCTTCTGCAGCCAGCGCACATGGCTGGACCTTCCTTGAGGAAGGGTGTTCTCAGGATCTAGACTCCCCAGAAGAAGCAGGCAACAGTGATTGGCTAGTGTGTGGCTTTGA